ATCCCAAAGGCTTGGTAGCCATCATAATGAAGTAATGAAATTGGGTTGTTAGCGGAATGCTAAATAAAACAGCAAAAGGGTTTATCTTCCATTTAATTCCACTTAATTAATTTTGGTATCCATGACAGATACGTATTTCGACTACAATGTGCAGTCTTCATCAGTGTCATTCCCACTAAAGAACTTATCAAAATCTAACCCCCTTAAGTACTCATCCCCTAGGTAAAAAAGTCAAGATCATAGGTATAAAAATGAAACTACAATGTGTTGAATCGGAACCTACCTAACTAATAAAAACCAAAGATTTAAGCAAGCTAAAGGAGAAAAATCTATACAAATCTCTAATAAGGAAAATCCCAAAGGCTTGGTAGCCATCATAATGAAGTAATGAAATTGGGTTGTTAGCGGAATGCTAAATAAAACAGCAAAAGGGTTTATCTTCCATTTAATTCCACTTAATTAATTTTGGTATCCATGACAGATACGTATTTCGACTACAATGTGCAGTCTTCATCAGTGTCATTCTAACCCCCTTAAGTACTCATCCCCTAACTTGATGTACTTAAGGGGGTTAGATTTTGATAAGTTCTTTAGTGGGAATGACACTGATGAAGACTGCACATTGTAGTCGAAATACGTATCTGTCATGGATACCAAAATTAATTAAGTGGAATTAAATGGAAGATAAACCCTTTTGCTGTTTTATTTAGCATTCCGCTAACAACCCAATTTCATTACTTCATTATGATGGCTACCAAGCCTTTGGGATTTTCCTTATTAGAGATTTGTATAGATTTTTCTCCTTTAGCTTGCTTAAATCTTTGGTTTTTATTAGTTAGGTAGGTTCCGATTCAACACATTGTAGTTTCATTTTTATACCTATGATCTTGACTTTTTTACCTAGGGGATGAGTACTTAAGGGGGTTAGATTTTGATAAGTTCTTTAGTGGGAATGACACTGATGAAGACTGCACATTGTAGTCGAAATACGTATCTGTCATGGATACCAAAATGAATTAAGTGGAATTAAATGGAAGATAAACCCTTTTGCTGTTTTATTTAAATCACATAGCCAGTGGAAAATATCCATGTGAATTTCACATAACTTCCATTTGTACCCATAATTGGAAATTGCACCACTAACTCACATGAACTTCATGTGTCCAATGAAATCTATATGATTTCTCATATAGAATTTCTTATGCTATGTGATATTCAGATAAAAACCATTATTTTAGTTATTGGAAAAATATTATGTGCGTTCCTAATAGAAACTAAGTGAAACCTTTTTTCAGTGTACAATACGAGAAAATGGATGCGTGCTTTTATAGTTTAATCTTCTCTTGGTGCTTACCGAATCGAGGATAAGGATTTAATCCAGGTTTCCCAAAATCCAAATTAAATCGCGTATTATCCTCGATGGAGCTTACCGCTATAAATAATGGGGGTTATTCCGAGAGTCGAAGTGACATTTGTCACTAGTGAAGTGAGAAAAGTCACTTCGACTCTCGGAATAACCATCAATGTATACTTTATTGGCAAATCAAAGTTGGCACCAGGGGGCTGGCAACCCTATATCAATCCTATACGTTTGACAGTAGGCAACATCTCGGGCCTTATTTAAATACGGCCCACCTGACGTATGCATGGTGGAAAGGGACGAAAAATCGTGTTATAAGCAGAAAGACAAGAGCAGATGATAGCATCAAAAACATGGCCGCTAGCCAGGCCCCTGGTTATTCACTAGTGGAGAATAGAAGAACTATGAGAGTGATGATGGTTTCAAAATTTTCCACGGAGAGGTATCCCGACCAACCATTTCGTTAATTTTCTTTAATTTTCTATACATCGATCTTCAAAGCCATTCATAAGAAAAATCGATAGCGATCGTTACCATTTCATGAATAATTGTAAAGATGCTAAAAGTCTAATCGTGAATTGTTTATAAAGATCTTTCTCAAAATATTGCTACCAATGTTCGATTGTGTTGCCAGATCAAAATATCGATTTCTGTTGTAAAATCAAAATATCGATACACAAACTGCTGATTTTATTTGTGATTTTTTTTTTTTTTTTTTTCTTTATTTTAGAGATTTTTAGCCTGAGGCTAGTTCATCTCTTTTTTATTTGTGATTTTTTGTTTGCATGATTTCTAGTTTCGATCCCATGCCATCTGGGGTGTACTGATTTCGTTGTTGGTTGCTAATCCTCGGGTCCACGGCTACTGTTGATGAGCTTATCAACGACAGGCAAACACACTCTAGTATGTGGTGTATTGAAATTTCTGTAAATCTTTTAATACATGAATTCAATATTTATTTGTCATAACCATCAACCAGTCAGCCATGTAGGTGTAATAGAGGTCAAAAAGGTATCAATTTTCCTCATTGGGTTCCAAATGCCGAGAATCCCACCACGCATGCTATCACGGGTTATTAAATATATAGACGTAAACTTGAAGAACTACAATGGGAAACATTTGCTGCGTTGCGGCCATCGGTCTTCTCGTTCATTTACCGGCAGATTGCTTCTTCCGATGAAATGCCGAATATGTCGATAAATAACATTGCCATCTGTCACCTGGTGTCTCGAACTCTCTTTAACCAGCGATGCAAATCGATAACAAGGAGATTATAAATGTGCATCGATGGCAATCTTTTTTTTTTTTGTCAAAGTTCAAAGTTATATAACTGATGATATCAGTATTTAAATATTTATTGATGAATATTTGTAAAGAATACTAAAGTCCATGTGACATATCGAAATTAAAAGAAATTTAGTATGGCACCTTTATAGATTACTATCATATGACCGATGAAGAAATAATCTTAAATGTAAGTATCGATCAATAAAGATTTTTAAATGTGTACATCTAAATCATAGGAAATTTAAAGTAAAGAATTGCCGACATAAATCTTTATTTCTGTATAAAGAACTTTGAAGAAGTTTCACGAACGGTTGGTCGGGATATGAGTGCAATTTTAAAATGCTTTTATTTTGCAAATGGAGGATTCTATTTAAATCATGCATGCTACGTTAGTAGAAAACTTTAAGACTACTCAAGAGACATATAGTATAGTAAAAATAATTTCTTTTCAGATTTTTAGGTGTATAAATCGATTTCAGCTTTTTTACCAATGTAGCAGCAACCAGATTTAAATAAAATGCTCTATTTGCAAAATAAAAGCATTCTAAGATTGCACTCGTATACCTCACCGTGTAAAATTTTGAAACCATCATCACTTTCACAGTTCTTCTATTCTCCACGAATGCCAACTTTGATTTGCCAATTGGATTCGCCTATTGAGAAAAATCGTCGAATGTACAAGTTGACTAGTTAAAACGTCCCATTTGATTTTTTTCTATATTGTAGCATGAAATTCAAAGCAAAATTGTGATTTTACCGTTTCTACTGAATTTTCAACGTTTATTATTCTACATTAAAAATAGTATTGAAAAATGTATTGTTTCTAAGCAGTTAAAATAATAATCTGTCAAACTTCAAATTCGATTTTCTCAAAAAGGTGGATATGTTACATTGGTCTATTTGAAAACTGACGCGAGAATTGACCATTTCGTAGCTCCAAGTGAAGCTCCGAATTGGCGTTGACGGCGACTCTGTAGCTCTTTACTCCTATGAGAAAATCCATAAGCAAACGTCAGCTGTGCGTGAAACATGGCGGACTTTGTACTATCCTTTCACTCCACCGAAAGTTCCCATAAGAAACTGACGATATTTGCTGGAAGAGCAAATTTTTCGACAATGCCGTCAACGCCAATTGAACGCAATGAGCTGGATTACCGAGGTGGAGCAGTCGGTTAAGTTGTGTGAGTAAAACCCCTGTATGATACATGCAATTAGTGACGTCACTACTTGCGTTTAGGGTGATTTTTTGGATTACTAATACAACCATATTTCACGATCTGCTTCACCTCTCTCTGTACCTCATTGAATTGAACGGTCTAAACCATGGTGGGTAAATAAATGGTGATACAGCTTTGTCACTATATAGGCTGGGTGGTCGCGGGGGGGGGGGGGGGGGAAGTGCGGTTTTTGAGCAAATTGTAAACAAACTCGGTCGCTGTCCATACAAAAATCCAACATGGCTGAATCATGGATTTGATACATTAGAACACCTATATGTAGTCACCTTGGTCTAAACCAGACTTTTCAGAACCTGATGGGCCCTTTTCGATTAATGTTCGAGGATTATTGATATTTTTAATTAGGAGCTAATTTCGCCATATTCTCGATTTTATTTCACAATAACTCTCGCTTTTTATATTTACCTTCGTTCAAAGACGTCTCGCTCTCTGGAGTGATGTCAGAAGCAGTACAAAGCTCTTAATAATAAACAATATCTTTTGACAAGATAGACCATGAGCAATCCCAGCCGTACAAAAGAAAACAAAGAAAAAAACTTAAATTTCTTAAATCCCATCTAAACCCTTCTCGTACACCCCTATTCTGTATTTCGTTTCGAACGAAATTCTCATACAAAAAAATATTTTTTTGTATGAGAATTTCGTTCGAAACGAAATACAGAATAGGGGTGGTAGTGTCTTATTGTTGTATTTACACAGTTTTATTAAATATTTGAATCTTAAAGATGGTACCTGTTTTTTTTTTTGTGTGATATTCAAGAATAGAGCTATGGATATTTGGGTAGGTAAATGATTTATTGATTCATATTTTTTCCAAGAGCAAAAGCTAAGTTTTTCTTGCTGCTCAGTGAATTTCCAAATTTTAATTCAAGGTTAACAATCCAATACGCAGAACAAAGGTAATCTATCACAACTGTATTTGTATAATGAAATCTTTTGTGTTTATCAATACACGTTTATATTAAACAACAACAGAACTGACTACAAAATACGACTACCAGCGGTATGCATGTGGTTCACCGTGTAAAGGAAATAAAAACGTTATTTTGCTTTTATTTTTCCTCCGTTGCTAAGCGCACGTACTTTTTTCCCTTTGTTCTGAGATAACAGTAGAATATGCGGAACAAAATTTATTCCATCACGACAAAAATAACATGTGAAATTACCTCGGGTACCATTTGTAGTATAGCCAAAATGTCTTCATATTAATTTTCCCTAGTTTTACAATCGCGTTTCAGGTGCTGGTTGGCAATGAATTTTAATTTTTGGATTTATCCTTCTTGTTTTGTTCCGTATTGCGTAGCTTGATCGTAATCTTCCGGGAGTGGCCACTGGGATCATAATGATTGGTATGCTCACTAGCTTCCTTCTTAGAACGTTGTTTTCCGGAATGGCCAGAGAACATGTGCTTATCAAATTCAAAATTGTATTTTTCGTATTCATCAAAATGTAGCTCCGACATTTTGCTTTATTTTCTTTGTTTTACCTTGAAATCAACACTACGCCGCAAATATTAGAGAGCACTAAGTCTCGAATTCTGTTTTAGGGATGAAAAGGAAATATCGCAAGGAAAGGTTAACATAGAAGACAATCCACATTACTTTATCAAGAAATAAAAAAAAACAAAAAAAAAAGTGATTGATAATCATTTACCTCGAAAATATATTAAGTACCCAGTTGAAACTAGTATTCAATCAATCCTGTCGCGATGTTCACTACAAAACGATTCACAAGAGACTATTCAAAGAGGGCGAGTTTCTCACTCTTTATGCTTTGTTTTTCTGCTTGATAAGCATCGCGCATGTGTATGTGTGCAGGCGAGTGTGCAGGTAGGCGTCTTGCAGTGAAACTTTTCCAAGTTTTCGCCACCTACATTTCGTAGTGAGAACTACCGTTCCGATTCAAATTTCAGACGATTCAAATTTCGGACACTTTCATTTTTAATTAAATATTACATCCAGTTAGAAACAAAGTAATAATGTTAGATGATCGTGGAGGGCACTAGTCAAAAAAATTTAAAATTTACAAGACATGTGGATCATATTCAATCGAGATAATCAACTTTTAAAAGTGTCCGAAATTCGAGTTTAAGTGTCCGAAATTTGAATCGGCACGGTACTAAAAGGATGATAGTTTCCAAATTCTCCAAGTAAAACAGACGATTTTTGGGGCAAATCGGTACATAAAGAAAAACTAATTAATTATATGATTTGAGTAGTAGCTATTGATGAATCTACGCGAAACTGCACCAGTGCATGCGACACCTACACGGAGATGAAAAACTACCCAAAATTAAGTACTTTTCCCTCAATTTCGGGGTTCAGCCCAATAACCCAAATTTGAGTAAATCGCATATAGTAGTTTCCATTTAACACCAGCAAACAAATTACCTACTCTTAAGTTTATTCTACCCAAAATTAAGTTCAATTCACGTAAATTTGAGAATATACATTTTACTCAAAAGTAACTATATCGTTGGGTCGAATCTCTCGTTCCTTTTTTGACAACAATAACGAGTGCAAGTGAAAGGCTGAAGTCAATATTAAGTAAAAAGAACTCAAATTTTGGGTAGTATTTTTTCTCCGTGTAGGTTTGAAATCCAAAACCACAAAAGTGATGATGTATCTGAAAAATATTCCATACGATTTGACAGCTAGCAAAACGTTATTATCATTTTCACATCATTTCCATCTGCTGGCCGACCGTAACGTAGATTCATCAATAATTTCCGGTGGAAACTTTTGCTTGAATCGTGTAAGGCTCTGAACCATTTGGCGATTTTTTTACTTTTGGTTAAAATTTGACAGATGGAAAGTTATCGATTAACCCTGCTATCCCAGCATGGTTATTAATTTATGACAGACAAGAAGTTAAATTTTGACGACCGTGGCTAGAAAACCGGTCGATCGACAGCACGGGGATTTTCGAACATAAGAAATAACTTTCGAAATGTCACTTTTAACCACGAGTTAAATTTAGCTCGGCAAATGGTTCACAGCCTAAGAAAACGTGTTTGCAAACTAACTGTTATTATTTCTCCATCATACGCGGAGACTTGAAGTATGTACATGTACATGTACATCGTACGGATTAGGCAAAAGATGTGCGTCTATCTTTAAAAACTGTCGCATTAATGGCCCTTCGCTCATTTTCAACTTCTATTCAATTTTCATACTGCCGTGCTCTAACGGAACTATCCACCTACCCTCGGAAAAAAATCCGTTCCCGAAAACGGGAACGGACCGTGAACTAAAAATCACGGCCAGCTATCCAGAACAAAATTTTCTCAAATATACACCGTGAACTATGGTTCACGGCTGTGGTTCACGAATATGGGAACTCTTTTTTTCCCGTGCCGTCTTCTAAAGATCATTCTCTAGCTAATAAATTATCACACTAAAGCTTCATGTTAGCATTTCCAATCAACTCTGAAAATCGCTAACTTCGCGTATGAAGTAACATAAAAACACTTTGAATGAAATAAAAATATGTTTATTGAATCAATACATTGCGATTATTTTTATGTTTTGTTTTTTTTTGCAACAAACAGAATTGCAATTGAATTTCAGGATTTTCAAGATCGACTATCTGAGGCATAAAATCACTGATCTCGCTATCCTTCGGAAGGGAAGTAAAGCCGTTGGTCCTTAGTTTATGAGTTGATAGGTCGATAAGTAGGGTCCAGGGTGAGTTGATAGGTCGATAAGTAGGGTCCAAATCAATGAAAAAAAGTAAAGCTGTTTATATTTAGCAACTGCAGCATACTTACTTACCTCAAATATCAATATTTTTTGAAATTTTACACATATTTCTCGAAATTCACAGTTGAAAACAATTAAATATTGTGAAACGCGGAAAGAGCTGAATTCAGTTTTGTGTTATTGTTTACATTTTTGTCCAGGTGAAAATGAGGGAATGGCCGGTAGTTATTTTTGCATTCATGCGTTGTACCCGGGGAGTGTACACAACAAATAAATGCTAAATTAAAACTAACTATTGTTGACTTAATAAAAGAATATTGTTATTTTTACCATAGTTGCAGTTGAAAAGTGACTTATTACAACAAAAACTAATCCTGTTTTGAATTTATATGTATATGTTTATTGAAACAACAAAATGCAATATAATTTCAACCGGAATTGTTTGTTTAAATACAACTAAAGTTTTTTTTTGGTTCAATGCAAACAATTTTCTGTCCGTGTTAGGTAAACATATCCCGACCAACCGTTCGTGAAACTTCTTCAAAGTTCTTTATACAGAAATAAAGATTTATGTCGGTAATTCTTTACTTTCAATTTTCTATGATTTCGATGTACACATTTAAAAATCTTTATTGATCGATACTTAAATTTAAGATTATTTCTTCACCGGTACTATGATAGTAATCTATAAAGGTGCCATACTAAATTTCTTTTAATTTCATATGTAACATGGACTTAAGTATTCTGTACAAATATTCATCAATAAATATTTAAATACTGATATCATCGTAACTTTGAACTTTGACAATGAACAACAAAGATTGCCATCGATGCACATTATAATCTTCTTGTTATCGATTTGCATCGCTGGTTAAAGAGAGTTCGAGACACACCAGGTGACAGATGGCAATGTTATATTATTTATCGACATATTCGGCATTTCATCGGAAGAAGCAATCTGCCGGTAAATGAATGAGAAGACCGATGGCCGCGACGCATCAAATGTTTACCATTGTAGTTCTTCAAGTTTACGTCTATATATTGAATATAGCATGCGTGGTGGGATTCTCGGCATTTGGAACCCAATAAGGAAAATTGATACCTTTTTGACCTCTATTACACCTACATGGCTGACTGGTTGATGGTTATGACAAATAAATATTGAATTCATGTATGAAAAGATTTACAGAAATTTCAATAAACCACATATTAGAGTGTATTTGCCTATCGTTGATAAGCTCATCAACAGCAGCCGTGTACCCGAGGATTAGCAACCAACAACGAAATCAGTACACCCCAGATGGCATGGGATCGAAACTAGAAATTATGCAGATAAAAAATCACAAAAAAAAAATCAGCAGTTGTGTATCGATATTTTGATTTAACAACAGAAATCGATATTTTGAACTGGCAACACAATCGATATTTTAACGTTGGTAACGATTGGTAGCAATATTTTGAGAAAGATCTTTATAAACGATTCACGATTAGACTTTTAGCATCTTTACAATTATTCATGAAATGGTGACGATCGCTATCGATTTTTTTTTTTTATGAATGGCTTTGAAGATCGATGTATAGAAAATTAAAGAAAATTAACGAAATGGTTGGTCGGGATTGATACTCAAAATTTTCGACACAAAACGCAACGGAACTTGATTTACTCAACACGCACCATACTATAAAATGGTGCTCGATGGTTTATAAAGTGATAACAAGATGACAAATCATCTTTATTTTGAGTAATTGAGCAATTTACTTCTGTTTACATCATATGTACGATGCAGCATTGATGAAGCTGTGAAATGAAATGAATATATCTCATGAAAGTTCATCTGGAAAAGTCAAAGATGCACATCAGTCTGATCGTGAAAACATTTTCTTCTTCAATTCGAATGTTATATTGACGAGTGCATGGATGGATTTGAGTTCACTCACTCGACAAAAAGTGACACAACAGCGGGGCCCTGTTTACTAAAAATGAACACATATGTGTTCATTATTAGTAAACAGGGCCCCGCTGTTGTGTCACTTTTTGTCGAGTGAGTGAACTAAAATCCATCCGTGCACTCGTCAATTGGAAGGATTTTACGCAGGCTTGATGAAAATTATGATTTTTCAAGAGCAAATTTTCATTATGTCGTAAGTAACATTCGCACCAATCCGAGAAAAATAAAGTTTTGTTTTGATGACCGAAAAGTTATTCCTATTTCCAAGTAAACACATATAATCTCATAGTGATAGTATTGTTTAATATATTTAGCAGGGTTTTAATCATACTAATGCAAATCGCTAGCTTTCATGCTAAAAAATACTGGTTTTTGAGTCAAAAGTTATTATACGTCGTTTGGTGGCCCCTATTGTTACTTAAGTCAAAGTGTATTTACCAGGATATTCGGGAGAATTATCAATTGCGTCTCCTTACGTGCCGGCCCCTTTCATCATTTTAGGACCACCGAAATCATCTTAGCAACAAACAGTTCGATTTATTCACTTTAATAATGAGAAAGCGAAACGACGAACGTACACTTTTCACGGGTTTCTCAGCGCTGTTACTTAAGTCAAACGGCATCTCCATAGAAATTGGGTGACTTAAATAACATCGAAAACTATTTTGATCGGAAGGTGATTACGTCAAAAAGCAATTTGACTGGTAAATTAAATTTAAAGTGGGATTTGATCCTATATTCGGACAGTATATAGTGTAATAGCAGGAGAATCGATTGACACTGATAGCTCGACTTTGTTTACCTTTGTTACATTCGACGTAATGAAAATTTGCTCTTGATTTAATGCTAATTTTCACAAATTTTATATGCAGTCTGTCAACATTATCATCATCATGCAGTGGCGACATCTGTGTCGGTTGGAGGCGAACCAGCCCAAGGCTGAAAGCCTCCCTAATAAAGATAAATTAATTAATCTGTGTCGAGCTTTAACGGCAATCTGCCAATTGGCGTTGACGGCAACTCTGTAGCTCTTTACTCCTATCGTAAAATCCATTAGCAAATGTCAGACTGTGCGTGAAACATGGCGGATTTCGTACTATCCTTTCACTCCATCGAAAAAGTCCGTAAGAAACTGTCAATCTTTTCTAGAAGAGACAATTCTTCGACGGTGCCGTCAACGCCAATCCGAGCGTGGTTACTTCTGACAGACAAGGGGCCGTATGAATAAAAAGAGTTTACTTTACTTTCCCGTGCTTTTCTTACGGGAAAAGTAAAGTAAACGCTTTTATTCATACGACCTAAGAAGTTAAATTTTGACAACCTTGGCTAAGTTTTTCTCGAAAACCGGTCGATCGACAGCACACACGATAAGAAAAAAGTACCCAAAATTAAGTTCCTTCCAGGCAACACGTGGCTTCTATAGTCGCTATATTCATAGTCTGGCGAATAGAATTTCGATCTATCAAAAAGCGGAACCAATTCAATATATTTTAGGCCATCAATTGAAAAAGTACTATCAATTTTTATAAACAAAACGTTGATTATTCTTTCCTTGCCAATCGAACGCAAATTACCAGCATCATCGGATAGGGGAAACTTTCCCCAACCCAAAGATGGTGTTAGTTTGCGTAGGCGTGCCTTGAGTCACGAGAAAAGGGTTTCCGAAGTTTTGTTCGCAATAGCTGATGTGCTCTTTTCTGTTGTTGGTCGTGATTTGCTCGATTGGTTCCGCTATTTGACAGCTCAATTGGTTCCCGAGATTCTATCCGCCAGACTATGAATATAGCGACTATAGTGGCTTCAGTGGGGCTAGGTAAAATTAAGTTAAACAAGAAAACTCAATTTTGAGTAATCTTGTTGAAGAATCCATTGAGTAAAAATTACCTAACGATCAATTGAATTGAATAGGTGAAAAATACCCAACGTACCAGCATCCAACCGGTTTTCCTTGCAACTTTTTTTGTCACTACCCCCTACGGATACTATACACAAACGATATCATATATGGTACAGGCATACCGCATAGAGGTGGGATGATATCCTGAATTGGTGGTTAGGCGTTTCTTATGTTTATGCGGGATATGTACCAAACTCTAACCAAGACTATAATGCGAGGACTTATTGAGCAGGAACGGAGGCGATGGATCACAAACAAATGACAGCGTCGATGGCCGTGCAGGTTGCTATGATTTTAATCCAAAATTAAGTTAAAGGTACCCAACGGTGAAAACATAACGGTTGAGTACTATTAACTGAAAATTGAGTTATTTTTTACTTTGAATCGCAGCGTGTTTTAGTTAAACGGAATGTATCGATAAATATTTCAGTAAATTACTTTACGTAATACAATTTACTAACATGTACATTTTAAACAACTACGGAAAGTACTAATTCAATCAATAATGACAAATACTACGTTTTGAGCTAAACGAGTTCATCTATTATTACTCAATAGATGAGTAAATTTGACCCATCGCCGCTTTCTGATTCACTCAACGGTAGACCTCAAATGATAGAACCCAACTATAAGTTTTTTTTTAAACTTAATTGTGAGTATTTTTTTTTTCTTACCGTGCAGGGATTTTCGAACATAGAAAATAACTTTCGAAATGTCACTTTTAACCACGAGTTAAATTTAATAATTGCCGAGTTAAATTTAACTCATGGTTAAAAGTGTTATTTTCTATGTTCAAAAACCCCTGTGCTGTCGATCGATCGGTTTTCGAGAAGAACTCAGCCACAGTTGTCAAAATTTAACTTTTCTTGTCTGTCAGAAGTAACCACACTCTGATTGGAACATTGCCGCAAAAGCTCAACGCAGATGTCGCCACTGCATGATGATGATAATGTTGACAGACTGTATATAAAATTCGTGAAAATTAGCATTAAATCATAATTTTCATCAAGCCTGCGTGAAATCCTTCCAATATAACATTCGAATTGAAGAAGAAAACGTTTTTACGATCAGACTGATGCGCGGCTCCATCAATGCTGCATCGTAAATATGATGGTAAACAGAAGTAAATTGCTCAATTAATCAAAATAAAGATGATTTGTCATCTTGTTATCACTTTGAAGACCATCTAGCACCATTTTATAGCATGGTGCGTGTTGAGTAAATCAAGTTCCGGTGCGTTTTCCGTCGAAAATTGTGAGTATCAATATGTTTGCTTAAAAAAGGCCAAAATGAACATTTATTGAATATTGGCGTCCTATACAACCAATTCTCTATTACCACCAGCATGATACAACCTTTCCTAAGTAAATTCACTTAATTTCCACTTTCATCTTAGGGATGGTCCATTAATTATGTCACTCTAATTTGGCCCATTTTCAACCCCCCCTCCCCCCTTTGTCACATTTTTTGTATGGACCTTAATTTTTTTTGTATGGCTCGTCACAGTTTTCAAAACCCCCCCTCCCCCTAAATGTGTGACATAATTAATGGACGACCCCTTAGTGAAAATCGCACATATTTACCATTTTCTGACAAATGCAGCTGCGCAGGAGGTAACCTCTCCCCTCGCCTCTCCCTGTGGGTGCAAACTTGTTATGCATAATATGTCATGAAAACATCTCCGATCCATACCGAAATAATAACAAATAGTTTTCAAACACGTTTTCTTACACGATTCAAGCAAAAGTTTCCACGGGAAATTATTAGTTTTTCTTTATGGAGCGATTTGCCCCAAAAAGCGTCTGTTTTACTTGGAAAATTTGGAAACTATCCTCCTTCTAGTAGTTCTCACTTCGAAATGTAGGTGGCGAAAGCTTGGAAAAGGTTCACTGCAAGATGCCAATTGACGAGTGCACGGATGGATTTGAGTTCACTCACTCGACAAAAAGTGACACAACAGCGGGGCCCTGTTTACTAAAAATGAACACATATGTGTTCATTTTTAGTAAACAGGGCCCCGCTGTTGTGTCACTTTTTGTCGAGTGAGTGAACTCAAATCCATCCGTGCACTCGTCTATTGATGAATCTACGCGAAACTGCACCAGTGCATGTGACACCTAGGTTTGAAATCCAAAACCACAACAGTGATTATGTACTAAAAAATATTCCATACGATTTGACAGGTAGCAATACGTCATTATCATTTTCTCATCATTTTCAACAAGTACGCAGCCAAAACAAAATCTGGCTCTCTCCGCTATTACACACACACATATATATGCAACAGAACAGAACACAACACAACAAAATTTTCCATCTGCTGCACGGTTAGAAAAAAGTACCCAAAATTAAGTTCTTTTTACTCATCTCGGCACTATAGTGCAGGAACCCAAAAGTAGGTAAAGCGGTTCAAAGTAATTTTCATTTACTTGTGTGCAGTTCGTATGGAATTTTACACTGGCTTTTTAACCAAAAGTAAGTTAGTTGTACCCAACAGTAGGTAAATATGATTATACTCAACGTTGGGTTCCTACACTTTACTACCCTTGTTGGGTGGTTTTGCTCCTCCGTTTTTGACAACATTAGAAGGAGAAAAGGAGGCAAACTAGTCAAAAGTAGGTAAAAGTGAACTGGCCGTTGGGTACTTTTTTCTTACCGTGTGATCGACCGCAACGTAAATTCATCAATAGGTGTTATCGAGGGTGTTCTAATGTGTCAAATTCATGATTCAGCCATGTTGAATTTTTGTGGGACAGCGACCGAGTTTGTTTACAATTTGCTCTAAAACCGCACTCCCCCCCCCCCACGACCTCCTCGCCTACACGGTAAGAAAAATATACTTACAATTAAGTTTAAAAAAAAACTCACCGTTGGGTTCCATCATCTGAGGTCTACCGTTGAGTGAAGGGCCACCCACAATATTCCGTCACCGTCACCGTCACCGTCAGCGTCAACGCATCCGTCATGTACTAAAAAGGCTGACGGACGCATTGACGCAGCGCATGCGCACAATCATACGTCATGCGTTGCGTTTTGACAGTAGCATAATCTCGTTGCAATCATTTGTTTTGGCAAAAGAATTGATATAAAAAAAACTCCGAAAAAAATTCTATTAGAAATGGAAGAAATTCTGGAGGTGCTTCAAGTGTTGGACGAATTGAGGAAGGCGATCAATTATTCTATAAAGCATCCTCGTAGAACTCCGCGCAGGTTAGTGTTTATGATAAAAATTTCCTGAAGAGAGCTGTAATTTCTCGGCCTTCCAACCAATTGAGCATATTTTTTTGTAGCTGATTATATGCAATTGACACTAATCACATACAAAAAAATCAACTGAATTTGTGGAAGAACTGCCGTAAAAATTCGGCGGGTGGGAACCCCCCACTACACTCCCTCTGTCTTCAGGGAATGTTAATATGAGAAGATATCTGAAAGTAAATTAAACTATACTGTTTGTAGGTGGTGGGTTCGGCCATCAAATGAAAATCGCGATACCGAAGGATTCTTTGAAACGGAATATATGCTGATGAGGAACAGAGATCCGGAGTATTTCATTAAATCGGTCCGTATGAATCCAGATGCATTCGATTTACTGCTGAGCAAGGTTGGTGGTCGTCTTGAAAAGTTTTCTTGGCGGAAACCGATTTCACCGGAATGCAGATTGTTTATGACTCTTATGTAAGTAATTTCAAAATATTAGATTACAATTAACTCTTTGGGGACCAAACCACCGAAACCCAAAACTATAACAAAGTCAAAATAAAATAAAACATTCGAATACATTAGATGTTGATGATAATTATTGTTTTTTTTTTAATTTCTAGGTTCCTCGCTCATGGATCCTCTGTCTATGTGACTTCGAGGCTATTCCGGATGGGTGAATCAACGGTACGGTTGATAGTGTACGAAGTTTGCGAGGTTTTGTGGGATTCGTTGGTGGTTGACTATATGCCTGAAGTTGACAAAGACAAATGGAGCATGTACAGCCAGGAGTTCTATGATCAATGGAATTTTCCCAACTGCTGTGGAGCCATAGATGGAAAACATGTTTCAATCCAATGTCCGCCGAACAGCGGATCGTTGTTTTTCAATTATAAACATTTCCATTCTATAAATTTAATGGGCGTTTGCGATGCAAATTATAACTTCATTGCTATCGATGTTGGAGGATATGGCGGTAATAGCGATGGAGGAATATTTGCATATTCTGAATTTGGGAGGCGATTGGTGAATGGCGCATTGGATTTGCCAGCACCAGGCAAGTTGCCTGGGTCAAATGAAGTGATGCCATATTTCATTGTTGGGGATGCAGCATTTCCTCTCAAGAATAACCTGCTCCGGCCATATCCAGGTGTTAACTTACCTCCAATTCAAGACAACTTCAATCAACGACTGTCCAGAGCCAGGAGAACCATCGAAAACAGCTTTGGAATTCTAGTGGCGAGGTGGAGGATTTTGAAGAACACATTAGTTATGCTTCCAGGCTCGGTTGACAAAATTGTGAAAGCTTGTGTCATTTTGCACAACTTTGTTAAGAGGAATTCAGCGAATGATTACTGCCCGCCATGCTTCGTAGATCAAGTTGATGGTGATGGGAACGTTAGTGAACCTGGTGAATGGCGTACATTAGTTGATCCTCTGAGAAGTATCAACTCTGCGGCCCTTCAAAGAGGCAACAATGCGACGCGATCCGCATACGCTAACCGAGATGTGTTGGCCAAACATGTATTCGAGCGCCCAATTTAGTTAAATAATTATCAATTCACACAATATTTGAAAGGAAATATAAAATATAAATTGTCTACAAAACTCTTTCACTAGTTGTATTTTATTGGGAATATTCACTGAAATTTGTTTCGGAATCGGGGTTTAGAAATCCATATGGTCCTTCTTACAAATGCAAATTCCGACTAACAGCTTAAGCGCAAACAATTGTCTTTCTAAATACGGCTTTGGGACTACTGGGGATTGGATAAAGAGCTCAGAGATCTTCTAAAGTTCAGAGAACTACTACCAAATTAACAAACACCTCCACGAGGTTATGGAATTGTATACAAAGTTCAGAGAATTTCTTCGAAGTACAGAAAATAATTCACTAAAAATCAGACGACTTCACATAGTTTAGAGACCTTCTACAAAGTTCAGTTAAATCATAAAACTCAACTTCTGAAAAGTTTACACAGTTTCATCTGGTTAATCAGGAATTTTTTTTTGAAGGTCTCCAATTGTCCAATAATTTGAATCACGTATCTCAGATACTCTCACATGGTAGCAAAATGATCAACAAATATTCCAAAGGCCGTAGTTGTAGTAGATAAAAGTCTCATGTTAAATAAATAAATTAACAATATCAAAACATGAGACTTATATCTACTACAAGATGATCAAAGATCGTAAAGCCCTCTTAACAATTAGAATTATGGCTCTCAGATATTCTCACAAGTTAGCAAAATGATTATAAATTAAACCAAAATCCTCTGGATATTTTTCCAAGCCTCAAGGCTAATCAGGTTTTTTTTGCTGAAGATCTCCAACTGACAAACAATTCGAATTCCATCTCTCAGATATTCTCACAAGATAGAAAGTTAATAAAAAAAATAATTCCAAAGATCTCCAGAAGATCAATGATCTCCATAAAGTCCTCTGGATATTTTTCCATCACTTCAGGTTAATCAAGTTTTTTTAAGATCTCCAACTGTACAACAACTCAAATGACATCTCTCAAATATTTTCAAAAGGTAGCAAAATGATCAAACATTATTTCAAAAGCCGTTAGACGATCAAAGATCTTCGTAAAGCGTTCTGGATATTTTTCCAAGACTTCAGGTTAAACAGATTTTCATTCTGAAGATCTTCAACAATTCAAATTAAATTTCCAGAGACTCACAAAATAGAAAGTTAATCAAAAATAATTCCAAATTTTTAGTGACTTGGTCACTTTTTTCAAGCCAGTCACCAGTGTTGGAAAAATAACAAAAAATCAAACCTAACCAGTGCCCAAGATCACCCTTGATTTTCGTAGACAGAAATCAACAAGCAACATCTGCGGTTGATTTCGCAAGCTGTGATATCGCAGCTCGGAATATCAAGCTAACAAAACTCACCAACTGCAAATCTCACCAAACTGTGGTGAGATTGAGTTTAATGATTATTGCTATACACCCGAATGCAACCGAATCTTCCATAACGGCTGGCAGCAGTCATCGGTGAAGATTAAAAAGAGATAGCAAACTATACTTTCTCTTACCAAGAAAACGATGTGGAACGGAATAATTTCTGTGTCGAGTCAGCTCTCAGCTTGATTTTTGCGCGTTGTGAATAGTCTCGCAATATCAAAGGAGCTTGTAAAATCAATATCAAGCATGATAATCGGTTCCAATATCACGCGTGATATTGAGAGCGTATGAGAGCGGAAAAATATTATTTGACTGATGATTTAGCCAACACTGCCAGTCACTAAAAAGCGAGGGGGGCGACACATCTAAATCTCATGTTTAGATGCTCAACAAATCTCACACTAGCGAATCAATCTTCGAAAAATCTACTTTCATTTGTCGCATCTACTTGCATCGCGCATCATCTTTTTGCAGGAAATCATCAGAATCGTCATTAATCTTCTTTCTATCTACTCAGCGTGCGCGCAGCTAGTCACAGCAAAACACAATCTTTTCTGCATCGTAGATAGAGTCGTCCCCCTCGCTAAAAAGTCCCTTTTTTTTAAAGCCAATTAACTAAAGTCACTTTTTCTTCTCATCAGTCACTATTTTCAACTTTTTAGCGTGAATTCATTTCAAGATTGATCATTCTTTGCTTTATGGCGTTTAATCGTCTTTCTATGTCTACTCATTTTTGTAAATAAAATTAGCTGAGTTTCCCAGGTTTTTCGAGTACTCTAATGGATAAATTCCTGGTTTATAATAAAAAAGCTGTTTGCTGTTTATGCTTTTTTGAAGGATCAAAAACAACAACAATTTATCCAATCCCCACAAATTTCTTCGATTTCTTCTCATAATTTGTTTGGCGAACTCTCCAAAATTTATTTTCCGAATTCCTTTGAAGATGTTCCGGAGTTATTCTCAGATTTAGTTGTAATCCTCCTTTTAGTATTTTCAAAAAGATTCCAAGGACTTATGCTCCAGATTCGTTTTCTCCTACAAACACAAAACTATCCTCAGAAGACCGTTGGAATTTTGCTCTGATGGAGTTGTGCTCCTCAGAAATTTTCAGAGTTTTCATTAAAGATTTAATTTAATTGAGGGTTTCTTGAAATTCTACTTAAAACTATCAAGCTTCACAAGAAATCTAAAACACCTCAGAATTACCTTAAAAGCAGATTGCATTTAATGTTTTTTTCTGAAAGTTTTTTTTTCCAGAACCCTCTTGAAATGGGGTCATTAGAAATTATATTAAAATTCCACGAGCTTTTAAAACTGTGCATAGATTTTGAGTCCAGATTCTTGAAAATTTCTAGATTTTAAGTGCAGAACTAGTTCAAATTTAAAATTTCTAGGAAATATGCATGTTAAAAAAACATTTCAAGCCTCTGTTTTTTTTTTTTTAGTTACTGAAGATTAGTCTACTGTGGATCTATAAAGTTCAAAGTGTGAATGAAAATAACGAGAAAATTGAAAAGCTTGTATTTTAAAATTCAGTATTTTCTTTCAAATATCCCAAGTAAGAAAATTATTAAATTCTCTCAGCCTTCCAGCTTAAGAAAAAATAAAATTTCTTGAGGATTCCCGGTTTTCCAGGTTTTTGCAGTTAGTAGACACCCTGACTAATACCATGGGTTTGGCCATAAACTTTCTATTGGATCTTTCGCTTTAAAGGTTCATATCGTACATAATTGTTTACGAGATACTTATTGAATCTGTCTAAAACAACTAACATTTCTTCACTAGTTTTGATAGCAGTGATCGCTACCAGCCCTGGGAACAGCGTTCCAATTAAGGGGCTGTTCATTAACTATGTAGACAGTTTTTTTTGTAATCGTGAGCCCCCTCCCCCGCGTAGGCAATTGTTCATACATTTTTTTAAAATTTGTATTGGCCGTGGATAATTGTCACCCCTCCCCCTAAACTGTCTACGTAGTTTATGAACTGCCTCTTAATGGAGGACGAATTTTCAAAAAAAAACAAACAATAATCACAATGTAATATTTTTCTAGCAAAATATTGGTTGAAAGCTATAAGATCGACGTATAAAAGTGGTATGCAGATCGTATATTTATTTAATAATTAATATCTCGATTACTTTTACGAGGGGAAGTATCAGCGTTTGAAAACAATGTATTTGATCGTCGATTTGGCGTAACTGATTGCCTATTTATTTATTTATTTATTTGTAGTTTGTTACAGTCAACAGGTTAAAATACCCAAATGACAATTAAAACTTAGAACTATCGCACTATTGCTACTGTGACATAAATCTCAAGAAATTCTGCCTATTGGACGCACGTGAAACGCATATGCATGTTAATACCACTAACAGGTAGGGGGAAATTTCCCCTATCTGATGATAGTGTAAGTATGCGTAGGTGAGCTACCAGTTACGCCACATCGACGATCAAATAATTTTTTTACAAAAACTGATACGTCCCTTCGAAAAAGTAATCGAGATATATTGCCTCAGTTTCTCCACTACTGGCTCATCCACCCAGTGTTTTCGAAAAAAACATGATGGCTTAGTATAAGTTTCATGAAAAGATGGATTTTACGTACTGTTGACCTTCGGGGAAAAATACCGTTCCGCCGGAGTCACGGTGCACTTCTCCGTGTGCTCATCATTAGCTTCTCTATGTCTTCTTCTTCTTCTTCTTCTTCTTCGCATTTCAAGCTTATTGCATATCGCATATTAGCTTATTGCGTGCTCGCAACTTAGTGTTCTAAGATGCACTTCCACAGTTATTAATTTAGAGCTTTCGATGCCTGTACCATTTTTACATTGGTATAATTGTGTGGCAAGTCCAATCATACTTCTATGCGCAGGGAAGTCGAGAAATTTTCCAACCCGAAAAATTCCTAGACCGGACCGGGAATCGAACCCAGCCACCTCCAGCATGGTCTTGCTTTGTAGCTTCGCCTTTACCGGCTGAGCTAAGGGAGGCTTCTCTATGTAATATAATGTGAATTAGTTCTGGTAGCAAAAGTTGCTTTTTTTATTCGAAATCAAATGCAAAGCACTAGGAATAGTTTCATGAAATTTGAATTATTACGGATGTGCCGTGTCTTCCGGAATATCTGCTTGTCACCTACTAGAATCCATCCTATACTAGCACCAAAAGGTAGGTAACTATTTCCTCAACTATTGTACCCCAAGAAGTTATCTTTTCAAATTACTTACTATGATTACTTTTTTATGAATTGAGAGTTCAAAGATTCAGTTATTATAATACGTTTATTTATTCACAAATTACATCATCATCCGTTTCGATCAGATGATTAAACTCATCGATCGATTGGTTCACTCTCAAGATGAACTCCACTTCTAGAGATCTTGCGACTTGCTCTGGAAGCATCTCCAATCTATCTCCAATGTATTTGCAGAAACTCTCGTGCCTTGATTTTTTGGCCGACCACCCTTCCACACGCTGTTCGACTTTTTCCAGAATACATTGGAAATGTTCGTCTGTGTCCAGGGCTTGCTTCCGGCGTCGTGAAGACTTTGCGGTCGGGGTAACCGAGGGAGTGGTTATGTTAAGGCCGAGGTTAAGGCTACTTTCACTGTCACTGTTTATATGTTCAGTATCCTGTCCATGACCTTCTTCGAATACACTTTTGTCCTGGTAGTTGGAGGAAGTCCTGAAATTTTGAAAAAATTATTTGGGTAAATAAATACTACAGATAGAAA